ATGGCAGAATCGTACAAAGGTGAGTAGACATAAAGATAGAGCTTTTATAAAATGTCTGGTATGTTTATATTTTAACATTTTTCAACTCGATCCTTAACAACTCTTCTCTTCTTGTCACCATGCATGTACATACTTTCTAAAATAGTTTGACTTTCATTTGTGTGTTGTGCTTAATGTCACTTTAAACAAGATAATATAACCACAACATGAGCCTGATCTACTAATATCACAACCTGAACTGTAGCAATGACTTAGCATCCCATTTGAACCGCTAGTTACTAATAATCTGATTTCAAATTTAAAAATCATCTACAACCTTTTCTTGGGCAAGGCGATCCATTCAGCACCAAACTGTGCCCTGAAACACATTTGTAAATGAAGTTACCGTCTAATGAATCAAAATAGACTAAAGCGAACCACTGACATACTATTTATTGATTTAAAACATAACAAGGATTTGCTCTCTCCAGATTTGTGAAGCATGGAGCATTCAGTTGCATCACATGAGGCCAAATATCAACATGTGGTGAGACAACCAAAACACTGAATCATAGTTTCAGTCCTGAGATATTAATTCTTTGTGAGTCGTATTATCAGTCTTACTGAGTTCTTCCTGAGTTCTTCTTGAAGACGTTTCACCTCTTTAAGTAGCTTATTCAAGTCACCCTCTTCAGGACTGAAGAAGTCTTTTACAATGAGCTAAATCATTAAAAATTAAAATAAAACAGCTACTTTTTATTTAGGCTCACTGGCTAAGAGATTACAAAAATAACATTTAAATGATTAAACTCTCCTATATTTACCAGACAGTTAAAGCCACTATCTGGATTAACACACAAATCAGATATCCACAAATAAAACAGCATCATAGCTCATATTCTTTATGTACATTTTGATGGAACTGATGCTTAATTTTGAGCAATAAATGTAAAAGTCAGCATTATTGCTGTTAAATCTCCATCCTCAACCAAGCAAAGATGGGGCTGCAGATTATTTATACAACTCTTCCACAAGAATGATTCATATTTGTGTTTGCTTTTGGGTCCCTCCACTGGCTGATGAATGAAACAGTACCTTTTATGCAAGAAACCCTTCTCAGTGCATGAAGTTCACGTAAGTGTGCTCCAGGACTTGATATGAAATCTTTTTTTAAGCAGAGCAGCTTTCATATTCATCACTTCCTGCTTTCAGACCAATATACTGTTACATCAATATGCAATTAAATAAATGCTAAAATTAACAAAACTTGTAAAAAAAAATGCATTATGGTTTTGCAACTAAATTTTAATATTTTAACTCTTCTTGACACATCATACCAAAGTTTAAAATGAAATTTTCTGCAAATATTTTCACATTTCATTCCTAAACAGTGAATTAACAAAATGTCTTCTGACTGCCATGATCCTTCATCATCTATAAACTCATCAGTAAACAAAATAACTAACATAAGGGCTTTTTCAATCATATGTACTCACATGATTTAAAAACATATATCATTGTATATGTTGCAAACACACTGCACCAGTTAGGTTTGATAAAATGTTTGAAACAAACAGAAAAAGAAACAGCAGATTTTATGACCAGCTTGATCTGCTGTTCCCCAGTCATTTTATCCCCAGAGCACAAGGGAGTAGACAAAAGGAGTTTAGTAGACAAAAAAATTGAAGGATTGTAGATAAAGGTAAGGACGTTTGCTGCCTTTTTAGAAGGAAACTGCATTACAGTGACGTTACCATGGCAACACACTGGAGGTCAAACGATGCAGCGGAGGCGTTGTGAACAAATCGAACGTCAAACCTGCAATGTTGCTTTTAAATGTTTTTTCCTCCTATTTGGTTTGATTTTTTTTTGTTTGTTTGTTTTCGGATCATCGACATGAACAAAATACACAGTAGACATTTGCTGGTCTCACCACAGAAGTGTTTTACATCATTGTTCAAGTGTGGATTTACAGATGAAACAGATGTTTACATGCCTCTATAAAAAGACACAGAACCATTTTAATTCAGTCTGACTTTAAATTAAACTAAACCTTTCCTGTTTTAGATTAGTTAGGACTACCAAAATTATGTCTGTTTGTTAAAAATCCCAAATAGCAAGATCATTTAAAATATATATAGTTTTAATACTATCCGAAAAGTTACAAGTTTCCACACATTTCCTTTGTATTTGGTGGCACTGCCTTCAAACTGCATGACTTGGGTCAAAAGATTTGCGCAAGCTTTAAACAATAGTTTGCTGCAATTTAGTCCCATTCCTCCTGACAGGACTGATGTAAGTCTGGTTTGCTCACACACGTCTTTTCAGCTTTAACCATAAATTTTTTATGGGACTGAGATCAGGTCTTGTGATGGCCACTTTTTGGTGTCCTTCAGCTACTTTTTAACTACTGTAATTTCCGGACTATTGAGCGCGCCCAAATATAATAATAACTTTAATAACAACTTTTATTTATAATACGCTTTACATTCACAATGGATCTCAAAGTGCTACAGAGAGTAAACATCAGATAACATCAAGATAAAAAGCAACCGAGAGGAGTAACAACCAGGAGGATAATGCCTCAGAAAGATCACATCAAAAACTTAAAATGCACAAAATGCAGATAAAATACTTAAATAAGAACTATGGGTGCAATAAAAAACAAAAGTGCAATTCAATCAATTAAAAAACTGGGTAAAAAGAAAGGTTTTAAGACCTTTTTTAAAACATGTCACAGTCTGTGGGGCCCTCAGATATGATATAAGCCGTGCCCACAAAAATAAATACCTTTGTACATAAATAGGCCACGCTTTCTATAAGCTGCAGATGTCCACGTTGTAACATGAAATATTTACACAGAAAGATTTTTTTAACTTTAAATTAAATATGTACCATAACATACACAAATACGTACAGTAAACTTTTTTTGGTTTCTGAACAGTGCCTGATAAAAAATAAGAAACAGTAGCCTACCAAGAAGTCATTGATCGTTATATTCACCATCCTCCTGCGCAAGTTTGTGCTGTCCTCTTCATCACACAGCTGCCTTTTGAAACAGGGAGGTGGGGAAACTTCGTTCTCCCCTCCGTTTCATTGGTCCACTGTGACCTTTTCAGTAATTTCATTGGTCAGATTTTTTAACCATTATTTATACAGGTAGTCTCAATGAGTCAAGAGGATCCACCCCCTAAAAGAGAGGCATGAACTGGGCAGCTATGTGAGCGCCCCGGCGTGACGAGGCTAAATGTTTTGGCGGTATTAAGATCGTTAGCCCATCAAAAAAAAAATCCACGAATTAGCTGCAGCATTTTATAGGCCGCAGTGTTCAAAGTGTGTGAAAAAAGTAGCATCTTATAGTCCAGAAATTACGGTATTTGGCTGTATGCTGCGTGTCATTGTCCATTTGAAGACCCATTGGAGCCCAAAAACTTTAACTTCCTGGTTGACATCATGAAATACTTTAATATTTCCATATAATGTTTGCACATGATGCAGCCTATTTTGTGAATTACACGAGTCAAGAACAAAACACCCCCACAACATGATGCTGCCACCTCCATACTTCACAAATAGGGTGGTGTTTTCAGGCCAACAGGCTGCTTCCAAATGTAATGATGGTCATTATGGCCAGTTCAATATTAATTTCATCACACCACGTGTCTAAAAACCAAGGTTTTGATCCCTGTGTTCATTTGTAAACTGCAATCTGGCTTTTTCATGTTGCTTTCAGAATAATGGCTTCTTCAGTGCTGGGTGGCCTTTCAGCTCACCCACTCATTTTACTGTGGATAATAACACTACCGGCTTCAGCCAACATCTGTACAAGGTATTTTGTGTTGTTTTAAGGTTGATGCTCACATTTCACATCAACACACTTTCATCTTGGGAACACAGAAATAGATCCTTCCTGAACGGTATGATAGTAGGACATTCTCATGTTCATGCTTATGTTTAAAACAAATGAATTTGCACTCAGCAAAATATGGAAATTAATCCTAAGAAGAGAAAGTCACGGATATAATTTTTCTTACCGAGGTCTTGGCTGATTTTACTTTCCCATGATGCCACACCAAGAGGCAGTGAGTTTGAGGTGTGTCTTTAAATACATCCTCAGATGTGAAGTTTTCAAGGCCAAGACATCCTCATCTGGGCTATGCCAAATTAGTAATCTAGTGTAGTGTAGCATATATGATGTAAATGCTAAAGATCTGGCAAAAATGGTG